AATCAGGAGAAATGAATGGCCCAAAATGGTGTATAGAAACAAAGGCCAAAGGATGAATCCTCCACGCTGACACCTGTGCCAGGAGACTCCCGGACATACAGCTCATCAACTCATGTCCGTGAGAATCTAAACGTCCCCTGCCTCATGGAAGGTTCATTGACAGCACCCACACGCCACTCCTCTTCCCGCCATGTGCAGAGTATGGTCAGCAGAAGAGTGCAGAAAGCTTAGATGGAAACGCTTGGATACAATTCCAACCACATTCCCATCCACAACATGAGGATTCGTAACGATTCCTAAGAGGCCATTGCTCTGTATGATAGACAAACTCTTTTAGCTTCTTTGTATTGGAAGCCTGAGAAGCAGACATGACCCATTTCTTCCCTGGGACCTAATATCTGTCATGCCCCAGAGGCTGCGATTGCCCCTGAACGTACAATGCCTACCACACGTTCACATGAAGACCCTCGACCCCCACTGTCAAGTTTCAGTAAACACTCATATCCCTTCTAGACCCCAGGTTTCATTAATCAAGACAAATCAAAAGCCTGAAACATCACAAGGAAACAAAATAGGAAGGATTAATCCTCTAACCTGGTCACCGGACCCAGGTGGTTCCCGGATATCCAGAAACATCTGCACATGGCCATGAGAATCGAAACGTCCCCTGCCTCACGGAAGGTTCATTGACAGCCCCCACACGCCGCTCGTCTTCTTGCCACGGGCAAGGTATGATCACCAGAAGAGTGCAGGAAGTTTTGATGGAAACGCCTGGATACAATTGCAACCACATTCCCGTACACAACATGAGGATTCCCAGTGATTCCTAGTAGGCCATTGCTCTGCATGGTAGACGTACTCTTTCAGCTTCTTTGTAAAGGGAGTCTGACAACCTGACAGCCCCACGTTGGGTAGCACTACGGAGAACAGTAGGATGGACTCTCAAAAAATTAATAATTGAGGGGCGCCTGGGTGGCGCAGTCGGTTAAGCGTCCGACTTCAGCCAGGTCACGATCTCGCGGTCAGGGAGTTCGAGCCCCGCGTCGGGCTCTGGGCTGATGGCTCAGAGCCTGGAGCCTGTTTCCGATCTGTGTCTCCCTCTCTCTCTGCCCCTCCCCCGTTCATGCTCTGTCTCTCTCTGTCCCAAAAATAAATAAACGTTGAGAAAAAAAAATTTAAAAAAAAAAGTAATAATTGAGCTCCTATATGATGTATCAATCCCGTATCTGGGCGTTTATATAAACGACAGGAAGCCACTATGTCAAAGACACATACTCATCCCATATCCTCACTACAGCATTATTCTCAACGTGTAAGACATGAGAGACTTGTGAGCATCCATCCACAGTAGAAATGGATAAAGAAAATGTGGTACATGTGTCCAATGAAATAACACTCATCCGTGGAAACGTGCGCCTATAACAGGGAACCAGTGTAACAACGAATCCACTCCATTTCAAAGGCCTTACCTCGCGCTCCTTCGGCAGCACAAGTGCAAAGGCCTTACCTTCAGGTGTTCGATATCCATTCCCTTTCTGTCACCGACATACGCAAGAGGAATGAAAATCCACTTCAGGCTAACAGGGTTTGACATGAAATACTTCACACCAAGAATTCATAACTCATTAACATCCCCGCTGGGAAGTACACATTCATTGAGTACAGGCCTCATAACGCAACTGATGTGGCAGGCTCCAGAGTGGACTCCTGGGAAAGAGCCACCAAGCCAGACCCCACCTTGAATTGGGAGGGTCACCTTGTCTTTCCCTCAGGGTCCTGAGTTTGAGACGCCACCAATTAAACAGTCACCCTTTTGGAAGCGTCCACCTTGGGACTTATTTTGTGAAGTGCCAGTACTCAGAAGACTTACCCATAAAACATTCATCTACGTCTTCCCCATCCCTCCCCCCAATGAAATGACCCAACATGACTTTGATGGGCAGTGGGCGGGCACAAGTGTGTGTGCCAGAAGGAGGAGGCATCACAGTTATTAAGTTGTACAACTGCTTTCCACAAGCAAACAAGCCATTCTTGTTCACCTTTGTACCTGCCGCCTGGGGAAGGAACATGTGTTGGGGCACAGAGTTTTCTAAGTACCTCAGGTCTCAGGTTTTCACTGGGTAGGAAGTCGTAAGGACCCCCATCTCCCACGGCTTGAAAGTAACTGAACCAAGTATAGGGATAAATGAAAAGTCTTTGAAATGTCAACATGCTGTGTAAAGGCTACATACGTTAGTGTCTAACCACAAAGAAATGTGGATCCTTTGGACTTTGGGGAGTGCACCTCAGGCTCTGCGATGCCACCTTCTGGATAAAACTGGTGCGAACAAAGCAATAGAGGAACCAGAGGTGTGTCTGACTCTAGAGGTCCCGAGGGTCTTTGAATGCACCTTAGAGCCATTCGTCTTTATGCTTAACACTCTCACACCCAACCGTCAAAGTCTTCACCTGATTTGCACCAAATTAACCCCTGCCCAGAAAAGAAGTAACTTTATACAGAGAAGGAAAGACAGGAGACCTTTGGGCACTGCCAGTTACCGAGCACCCTCCAGCCCCAACTTGACGCTGAGTGACATCAGCTTCAATGTCAGACGTCCAAGGCAGCCAGGAAAGAATGCAGCTCAGAGAAAGGCAGGGTCTGGGATGCTGGGCTACCTCCTGGCATCACAGCAGAGTTAAAGAGGTCCATTTCCAAAGAGATGCCCAAGACCCTCTGAGAATAGTTGCTGGCCCTGTGAAAGGAAACAAAACGTAGCTGAAATTACAGCAAAAGGCTCAAGAAATCAAGTGCAAGTGGGGTCTGCACAGGTGGCAAGAGGATCTAAACCAAGCCATGATCCTTTGCTCCCATAAACACATTCTGGAAACCGTGTCCTAATTTCTTCAGTACCTCCTGTGTGCTGAGCCCTTCATAAAGACGATCACGCTTGATTTTCACACCACGCCTGAGAGCAAGAGCAAGGTGTCATTTCCATTTTGCAGATGTGGAAGCTGAGGCTCAGAGATGACAGGAAGAAAGGGCCGAGGGTCTTTCAGACTCACATACTGGAAACTTATTGTGAACGAAACACGATGGGTGACACGGTCTCGGCAACATCTGCAGAGCCAAAAAATAGCTAGAATGTACGGAAGGGGAAACCTGCAAAGAAGTATTGACCCGCATGTTGCTTGAACTGTTAGCCTGTGCTTCTGGGACGGCTGCCACATAAATGCCCGCCCACCCACCCCAGCGGGGGTGGGCCGGGAGACTGTCACCCACCCTCTGGCACCCACTTGGTGTACAGGTCTCCTCTTTCTCGCCTCTCCTAGGTACTCCTGGCTTTCAATTGATTCAGATCCATGACTTTAAAAAGTTACATTCAGACCTGAAGAAATGCACCTGAGCAGTGCTCCCACAATCTCGGAGTTCCTGAAGTTTGTGTCTGACCATCCCATCCAGTCCATCCTGCTTCTGCATGGTAGTAGAAAGCGATTACCAAAAGGATAAAAAGGCTCAAGATCAGGGTTTTCTGGGCATCTGGCATTCTAATAAAGCCAACGCGTGTGTAACAGTGGCACGCAACAGTAAGCAGAGGAACACGAAGAAGGTCTGGAAGAAAGATGCCACTGACTCCTTGAGGAAATTGACTCAAGACGTGGAGTCTCTACCACGGAGTTAACAAGTAGTGTCTAGGGAGTGACCCCGACCTTGTGGGAAGCGCCCATGCGCCCATGTTAGAGACTCAGGGATGGGATTTCCACACCGTCTGGAAGAAAGGTACAGCTGACAGGAGACAAGGGCTATTCACCCAACACCTCTGGCCTCACACAGCCTAAGGTTGCTCTTACCTGCACGGCTGGTCTTGACTATCGGTTCAGGGTCCTCTCCTCTCATTACGGGCCCACCGGCTGACCGGAACTGGACGTTCCCATCACAGATCCTGAGGGAGGTGATGATTGTACAAATCTACAAAGGGACTTACCTGTGAAAGGAAGGTCAGCTTGGGACCGCTGCAGGAAAATTAGGTCACTTGGAAACTCACAACACGAGTGGATGGGGCAAACGTCCTCTTTCCCTCATCCAGAGCAATTTCTGAAAGTGGTTGGTGGGGCCAGAGGACCCAATCATGCAGCCTGTGTGAAGTAGGCCAAAAGAGTGAAAGAGAATGTAAGACAGGAACTGCATGAATCAACCCACAAGGTGAGACTGCGGCTTTAGAGGCTGGCTGATTGTCCCCTCAGCACGAACCATGGTGCATCCCGCCTTCATCAACCAGCACAGGGGAATTCTTAAATATTATGTTAAGAGGTATCACCACTCAGTGGCGAGAAGGGGTGTCTCAGAACTCCCGTGTCGCTCTTCACTAATGAAACCGTCCACTCATACACAATTGCGGGTAACAAACCTTTGGAATGGGTGGTGGTGTTCTCACTTTGTCACCAATTGCTGACACTGACATACCACGCAAGACGATGGGTAACAAATCATTCAAACGGGTTTTGTGTTCTACTTAATAGACCACGAAATGCACATTACAATGGCTGGGCTGTTCTACGAGACTTCGTAGTCGGTAACATAGTAAGTTCCAAAACTGCTAAAAAGAAAAATGAGCTAAGTTAATCACAACAAATTCCCGAAGCATTTCACACATTGCATAATGTCCCTACCACCTGACATTGAACCTAGGTCTCCGAGGAGGAAACAACGGGAACAAATTGGACATTTGGTTACCTACACATTGGAGAATCTGCTCTCAATGTGCAAGAATGCCCCTAGGATCCTACAGGCAATGGGCAAGTCATGAAAGCACCTTCATTCCACACTTAGATTTTGTTCAAGATCTAGGACTCTGTCTCAAAAGTCAGGATTGGTGAGGCTGGTTGAGGGTCCCCGTTCCTGAAGTCTGCTTTCCTGTCAGTACCGAGGACAGTCAAACCCAAATACCAGCAGTGGATCTTTCACAGGTCTAAATGTAATCAAAGTACATTTTACAGACCTCCAACGTGTCACCGATATGAGTCATTAAATCGTTTCTACGTGAGCTAAGATACCAAATTCAAGTCAATATCAAGAGTCAATCAGCAAAAAGGCCAATAAGGCAAACCCAGCTATCACCATTATCAAAAGGAAGTCCCTGTTGTACTTCACACCAAGTATCAGATTACGCTCAGGGATGAGGGCGCTCAGGGGTTTGAGCAAAACAACAGCCTCCCTCTCATTTAATTCTCCCCTTGTATACACAGTAGGTCTGACACAGGAAGGGAGGTGTATGAGGAGAAGCAGGCAGCCA